ACTCAATTTGCACTATTTCTGGCAGTCTGCAAAGGCCCTAAGACACAAAAATGTCTCTGCTCCCTCAATCCAGACTGTAACAAAAAAGGGGAAAAGCAAAGAGAAACATGAAATATATTATTCTACCATTACAGTTCCAATGAGATAATCCTACTACTGAAAATACTAGTAGTCATAGCTAGCTACAAATTAAAGCATCATTAGATTACTTATTGCTCAAAAACTCCAGGAATGCTTTCCAATCTTAAAAAAAAAAATTCAATTGGTATGCCCTTTTAAATGCACATCACTTTGGCAACTCAGTAACCTTAACAATCCATTCTTCTATTGTTGGTGCTTCAGTCCTTTTCCCAATTTTTACAAACATGGTTTGCTTGCTACTTTAGATCAAGGGTGGGCAAAGTGCAATTCTCCCAATGCTGTTGGATTGCAACTCCCATCAACTCTAGGTAACACAGCCAGGGATTCCTGGAGGTGTAGATTAACATGTAAGGTCAAGCTACTGAGTCAGAACTATCCCAGGCCCTAAACATTTGAACCAAAATTGAGACGTAGGCAGGACCCCTTCTAATTTTGCAAGCAGTGGTTCTTGGTGATGTCATGAAGCATGATAAATTAAGCATTAACTTTGGTTACACAGAGTTAGACCATGCAAATTTTAGAACATGAAGCTTAAGCAATCATGAAAAAGTATACATCCATCCCTGAGTTTATTCCCATTCACCTTGAGAACTGAAGAGGAGGATTTAAGCCTTGTAATCTGGTAACCCTATGAAAGATCCACACTTTGCCCACTCCTGTTTTAGATACTAAAGGCTGCAATCTGTCAACCTTAGATGCCAGGCATGAGTACTTCTGGTCTTCCATTCCCCCCATTATAATTATAACCACAAGTAATAATATCTATGCTTAGTCACTGTAGAATGTAGCTAGTTAAACATCATATATATATTACTGATGTTTTAAAAAACAAAAGTAGATGACCTTGTTCCTGAAAACCCTTGGTTTTGTTTATACTACAAGGTAATAACGCATGAGATCACTGCTGAGTGAATGTCATTGTTCTTTCATCCAGGGGTATTGGCCTGGATCCGGTTTCTGACTGCTTAACTATGATATCACATCCAGCAAATGAGAGAAAGTCTTTTTCTATTGCTTCCTTGAGTCTGAAGTACTACCGGTAGATGTTTCTGGCCTGACACACACCAGTTATGACGGTGTTAGTAGGCCTGCATTTTGACAATATATTGTTGTTGCTTTTAGTTAAGATGGTATGGAGGGATATCCATGTTGGCAGACCACTCCTCCCTTTGGCCATGTAGGCTCTGGGAGACAAAGAATCACAAAGTCCAAGAAATAAAATTTAAGTGCCATTAGCAATGCAGAAAGGTTCTTTATTTGAGATCCAGGAGTGGCCTGACTTCTTGGATATCCATCCAGTCCATACCATCCTAAATGAAAGCAGCAACAGTAGCATCAGCATCTTGACAAAATTCAGTACTGTAACTAATGTTGTCTTACTGTTCTGTCTCCTATGTGGTTTTTAATACCTTTCCTTGATGAAGAAGTCAGGGGAGCTTCAAAACCTTGCAGCATGTATGTTGTGCATTTTGGTTGGCCCGGTAAAGGTATCACTGTTGTGGATTTTGAATGTTATCATAATTTGCTCTATGGCCAACACAGCTACCCTTTGGAAAGTTTGATGTGTCATCATAGTTGTTGTTATTATCATCCTGCTTTTTCCCCAAGTTTGAGACTCGGGGCAGCTTACAATGTTGTTGTTGTTGTTGTTGTTGTGTGCCTTCAAGTCATTTCCAACTTATAGTGGCCCTATAAAATCCACAGGGCTTCCTCAGCAAAATTTGTTCAGGAGGAAGTTTGCCACTGCCTTCTCCTGAGGCTGAGAGAACGTGACTTGTAAGCCAACATGGTGTAATGGTTTGGGTGTTAAACTTCATCTCTAGAGATCAGGGTTCGATTCCCCACTTGGCCATGAAACCCACTGTGTGACCTTGGGCAAGTCACGTCCTCTCAGCTTACAAAAGTTTTTCTTTTTAAACAATAGTTAAAAATTTACAAAATATAAACATTAAAATATGATCATACTGTCAATAAAACAAAACAAAAACATTAGAACAGTTGAAAACACAAGCCATTAAAAATATCACCAAGGGAAGGGGGCCACACAGCTCAGTTTTTTTGGGAGATGCAAGGTCCCAGGTTGAATTCCCAGGATCCCCCACTTATTTTTCTTGAATTTTCTCATCTCCTATCTGACATAGTGCACATACCTTTGAATCACTAAAATGCAGTGGGAGAGGCAGTATCTGAGGATTTTGCCAGCCATCTCTCACCTGCTATGAAATTTGCTTGAAAACACACCTGTGCAACATACCTGAAATCTTGTTCCACAGCAGGTGTGAAGGGGGTGGGTGACAGAACCAGAGAGGAAATATGCAATTTATGGTATATGGGATCTTTAAAAAAATACTTTAATGTTTGGATTGCTAGGTGGCAATGTGAGATTTTAGTCTCACCTGTTGGATAGTAGTACAGCAGATGGCAAAAGGATGTCAGTATTTGTAGGCATTATGGGAGAGGACCACAGCTCAGTTGCAGAGGAGATGACTTTAAAACAGGGGTGGGAATCCAGCCTTCCAGATGTTATTAGACTGCAGCTCCCAGCATTCCTCACCATTGGCTATGCTGGGAAGGGCTGCTGGGATTTGCAGACCCATATCACAAGGGCTGCACAAGAGAATATTCCAACAATTCAGGAATGGCTACTAAAGTTATTAGGTTTATTGGAAATGGATAAAATAACTAAAAGATTAAGAAATTGTATTTCTAAAAATTATATTGAAGATGGGGGAAAAAATCTAGAATATTTAACCCAGAAATGGGGGGAAATAGTTACTATGGGTTTAATTTTGGATTGAAATGCAAATTAATGATGTATAAAAGGAAATTTAAATGTACACTCAGTTTGGAAGAGAAAGAAGTGGAAAATGTATATCTTGGTGATAATTATAGTTTAGAAAAGTAAGGAAAGGAAAGAGAACATATTTTCATTACAAGTTCAGGCAAGTAAAACTTATTAAAAGGTGCAAGTAAGGAAGCAACGGATGGGGTATGGGTGATTTGTGTAATGTAACATTTGTGTAAGTTGTATAGTGAATATTATGTGATTTGTATGCATTACAAATGTGGTGTGATTTCTTTTTAATGTTGTTTTTAAATAACAATGTCAATAAAAATATAATTTAAAAAATAAAGAAGGGTTATACACTCCTTGTCCTTGCTTTAGATGCAGAAGGTCCCAAGTTCAACCTCCGACCTCTCCAGCAAAAATGGATTAAAGAGCAACGAACTAGGAAAATGCTCTCCGCCCATCCCTATTTTGGGCCAAAGGAAAAGGAAGATTTACATCTGGTAAAACTGCTTGAAGAGGCGATTTCACTTGTTTTCTCAGCCCTCCTTGACATGCTGTATGGGAGTCCTTCTGTGTCTGTGGCTGTGCTTTCAAGTCACCTATTGACTTATGGCGACCTCATGAATAAAAAGCGGTGCGATTATGCCTCTTTATTCATGGAATAATCACACGATAATGGTGATGTTGCGCAACCTCATGTGAAAATCTTTGCGTTATTGCCTAATATTAACAGGAGCATAGCGCTATGCTCCCATCTTTTTTCGCCATGTGATAAAGCCCTAGGGAAGCAACAGAGTAATTGATGAAACCATGGCAGTTAAAGTGGTGTCAAAGTGTATTATTTCTGCAGTGCAGATGCAGCCAGGGAAACACTCCTGGAAAACTATTGTAGCTTGTGCTGTGGTTCTCAGTCTTTGTACCTCTGATTCTTTTGGACTTCAACTACCAGAAGCCCCAGCCAGAACCAGCAAAGGTCAGGGATTCTGGCAGATGAAGTCCAAAATATATGGGAAGGGCAAAGTTGCTAACTTCTCTTGCAGGTGATACTGAGTTACATGGATATCTATCCTGATTCAGTGCATTACTAGAGAGTAAGCCAGCGTATGGCGTGGTGGTTTGAGTATTGGACTATGAACAAATCCCTGCTCTGGCATGGAAATCCACTGGGTGACCCTGGGCAAGTCACATGTTCTCAGCCTCAGGGGAAGGCAATGGCAAAACCTCCTCTGAACAATTCTTGCCAAGAAAAAACCATGAAAAGCCTTAGGATTGCCAGAAGTCCAAAATGACTTGAAGGCATACAACAACAACAAAAGTCATACTGCACATAGTAAGATTTACCAAGATTTACCAACTAAAGTTTAGAGCACTGTGCAAAGAGAGCAAGCGTTTTGACACCTTTCCATCTGGCTTCTCTATTTTAGTACAATGAGTTTGTTTCCTGGTTTTTTTAAGCTCCTTAATTATCGTTGTTCCTATTTTAAATAATACATCTTGTCTCATTTATGGTTAATTAACATGTATTAACAATGTTATGAAGGGCTTATGCTTCAATGCAGCAGTTCGGCTCTTGCAAAAGTTACTTTGATTACTACCCTTGTGGCTCTTACTACCATCCCTTAGGAAATAATCCGTGAAATGCATATAATGGAAGTTGATGGATAATATCCAAAAGATGGTAAGGATGTGGATCTGATCCAAACAGTGGCGGCTCAAAGAGGAGCAGAGTCTATCATGTGTGAAAATGTACTTTATTTGTATTGCAAAAGAGATCAACAATATAAGAATGCAAGCAGAACATAGCTAGATTGGACTCAAGACTTGTCTACTTTAAGTAGACAATTCTGTGTTCTAGTATTAGTAAGACAGGATGAAAGCTTCTCCCTGTTTTCTTCATAACATATTGTTGTTGTTGTTGTTGATGTTGTGTGCCTTCTGGCTTATGGCAACCCTAAGGTGATCCTATCGTGGGATTTTCTGAAGCTGAGAAAGTGTGATTCAGGAGCTTATTGCATGCCCGAAAGAGGTGTCTTACCTCTTCCAAGTTCAGTCCTCGATCTGGGATACACCTGGAGGTTATCACACATAATCCGCTGCCAATTCTGCTGCGGTGCTGCCGGCCAAATCCAGCCCAGGTCGAAGCTGCACTCAGCCGGCCAATTTTTAAAGTTAGGAAACTTCCGTTTTCGAAAAAGTGCTGGTTGAGCAGGGCTTCGACCCGGGCTGGATTTGGCTGGCGGCATCGTGGCAGAACCGGCAGCGAATTATGTGTGATCACACCCGGGTGTATCCTGGATCGAGGATTGAACCCAGAAGAGGTAAGATGACTCTTTCGGGCATGCTATAAGCTCCTCACACAAGGTCAGCCAGTGGGTTTCATACCTTGGTCTCCAGAGTCATAGTCCAATCAATGCTCCACACACTACGACAGGGGTCGGCAACCTCTGTTGCCAGGGGGCCAGGAGGGGGGGGAAATGAAGCGGGGGCCGGGCGGGTGTGATTGCGCTTGTGCGCATGCACGCTTGCCCCCCATGCGCACATGTGCACGACGCCTGCAGTTGTGCGCATGTGCATGCATGGGGGGCGCCATTTTGGAAGGCCCCATGATGGCTGTAGCATGCCCCATGATGGCTGTAGCATGACGTTCAAAATGGCGTCCGCACTTGCGCACACATGCGCATGGCAGCAGGCGCCATTTTGGAACGCCCAACGGCGCCAGCGTCGTGCGCATGTGCATGATGCCGGCGCATTGGGCATTCCAAAATGGCGCCGCCGCCATGTGCATGTATGCGCAAGCGCGGTGTGCCAGCGGGACTGGCCACAGGTCGGTTCCAAGGCCTTGCGGGCCGGGGCTGGCCCACAGGCCATAGGTTGCCAACCCCTGCACTACGACATACTGGCGTATACTATGTGTAGTATACATTTCTATTATGTCTCCTCTTATTGGTATTCTAAGCCAGATAGCCCCCTGTGTTGTACCTTTCCCTCACAGAAGAATTGCTTCAGCTTCTCAAAGTTGTTTCGGGTGCCCTTTTCTACAACTTTTCCAGCTTTACAATATCATTTTGGGGTGTGGTGACCAGATCTGTACACGATCTTCCAGCTGTGGTTGCTCCATGGATTAGTATAAGGACAGTAAAACTATACCACACCCAGTATGGGGCTTGAGTCCCTAATCTGAAGATTAAGAATTCCATGTTTTGCCACATGATCTACCTGAGCTATATACTTTTCTGCTCTTAAGTTTTAGCAGAGGTGGGTCTCTTTGGAAGTAATGGGGTTATCTTCAGTAAAAACAGGAAACACTCCCATGGTTGCATACACTGTTCCTTTCTGTACCAGTCTACACTTTTTTTTCTTTCCCAAATCTTGGTCTGGGGGTGTTCTTGTCAATGATAGTACATTGCTTTAGCTTATCATGAGGTTTATGGGATTGGGACATAAGCTTGTTCTAGATTCAGCCAAGAACCTGGCTGGCACTAGCTTTACTTGTCTGCCTGCCTGCCTGCCTGCCTTTAAGTTGCCCTAGGGTGACCATGAATTTCATAGGGCTTTCTTAGGCAAGGAATACTCAGAGATGCTTTTGCCAGTTCCTTCCTCTGAAATAAAGGAATACATACAGGTACCTAGGATTCATTGGTGGCCTCCCACCCAAATACTAACCCGGGCAGACCCTGCCTTGGTTCCAAGATCAGATGAGATCTGGTGCCTTTGGGGTATTTAGGCCTGTGATACTAGCTTTACATCTGCATATTTTGATTGTTTGCAAATGGACACAATCCTGAACAGGCACAGCAGGACCACCACTGAATAATCAAGCACTCAAACTTCCCTCCTGAGGATGGGGCTTCTTTCCATTGTCATCATCACCATCTTTATTTGTACCCCACTCTTCCTCCCAAAATAGGAACTCAGAATGACTCACAATTTAAAAGAACAATACAGTTAAAAGCATACAAGACAGAAGTATGCAGCTTCCAGACTCTGAAGCATCCCACACTTCCCCTTAAAAAAAAAAAACCAAGCCAAAATTGGCCACCTGAAATCCTCAAGGAAGCAC